GTTGGTGTGTCAGCTCAGGTCCTCCCTCTTTAAAGATTTCAGCAGGGATCCCGTCTGGTCCACTGGCTTTGTAATTTTTCTGTTGGCTGATGGCATTGCTGACTTCTTCCAAACTGGGCAGTGCTGCAAGCTCATCCCTGGTTTGTTGTTGTGGGATTTGTGAGAGGACCTCTTCGGCCACATTGGAGCTGCGGTTCAGGAGGCTTTGGTAGTGTTCTTTCCAACGTAGTGCAATTGAGTTTTGGTCCTTCAGGAGTTTGGATCCATCTGATGAGCGTAGAGGCTGTATGCCATGGTTTCTTGGTCCGTAGATGACCTTTGTGGCCTTGAAAAATCCCTGAGCATTATGGGTATCTGCCAGGTGTTGGATTTCTTCGGCCTTCTTTGTCCACCAGATGTTCTTGAGTTCTCTTGGACCTTTGGACCTCAGCTTTTGCACTGGCATAGATCTTTTTCTTAGCTGCACAGTTGATGTCTCTCTGCCATGCTTGGAAGGCTTTCCTTTTCTTGTCAATTAGCTGTTGGATCTCGATGTCATTTTCATCAAACCAGTCTTGATGTTTCTTGGCTTGGTATCCAATAGTTTCTTCGCAGGCTTGGATGATGGAGGTCTTCAGTTTGTTCCAATGTTCCTCAACATTTTCGGGGTGTACTGTGGGTAGATGGTCCTTGAGTGCTGTTTGGAGATGGGCTTGTCTGGAGGGCTTCTGAAGGGCTTGGGTGTTCATTTTGCGCCTTGTCTTCCTTCCTTGGAGTCTGCGCTTGGGAAGGATCTTGATAGCCATCGAGGATCGAATTAGCCTGTGGTCAGTCCAGCAGTCGTCAGCACCTGTCATGGCTCTTGTGAGGAGCACGTCACGGCGGTCTCTGGCACGTGTGATTACATAGTCTAAGAGGTGCCAATGCTTTGACCGGGGGTGCTTCCATGATGTCTTGAACTTGTTTTTCTGGCGGAAGAGCGTGTTGGTGATGACAAGGTTGTGCTCCGCACATTTGGTGAGAAGCAGGATGCCATTTGAGTTGCTGTTTCCAACCCCGTCTTTTCCTATGGTCCCTGGCCACAGGTCGAAGTCTCGGCCGACTCTTGCCGTGAAGTCCCCCAGGAGGATGATTTTGTCCTCCTTAGGTATCCCCGATAGGACGGTGTCCAGCTGACAGTAGNTGTTGGTGATGACAAAGTTGTGTTCCACACATTTGGTGAGAAGCAGGATGCCATTCGAGTTGCTGTTTCCTATGGTCCCTGGCCACAGGTCAAGGTCTCGCCCGACTCTTGCATTGAAGTCCCCCAGGAGGATGATTTTGTCCTCCTTAGGTATCCCCGATAGGACGGTGTCCAGCTGACAGTAAACATTTTCCTTGATATCTTCGTCAGCATCTAGTGTTGGTGCATAGGCACTTATGATGGCTGCCCGTTGGTTTTTGGCAAGATCGATTCGGAGGGTTGAGAGTCGTTCGTTGATGCCAGTGGGTGCTTCGGTCAGATGCTTCACCAGATCATTTCTGATAGCAAAGCCAACTCTGTGCATTATTTGGTCTTCTTCAGGCAGTCCCTTCCAGAAGAAGGTGTAGCCTTCTTTTTCTTCCTTCCGCTGTCCCTCTCCTGATCTCCGGGTCTCCTGAAGGGCTGCTATGTCGATGTTGAAGCATCCCAACTGCCTTGCAATGATGGCAGTTCTGCGTTCGGGGCGTTCACTGTCACTGTTGTCCATCAGTGGCCATACGTTCCATGTACCGAAGTTCATTTTTCTTTTTTGGCTGCAGGGTGGTGACTCCATTGGACGCAGTAGTCCAGTCAGGGATAAGAGAGGCAGACTATGTTTAGGGCACCTTCTCTAGCCCCCTCCTTCCCCGTGTGGGGTGAGCAGAGTGGGTCCTCAAAAGGGCTGCTCAGTTGTGGATACAGCTGTGGATATAGTCGTGGATACTCAACTGCCTCGGACCTTGAGGTAGAACGACTGAGTCCGTACCCACCGCCCATGTGCCAGTCTGTGACTAGGGGCTTCCAGATTTCACAGTCCTGCCCCCGTCGCCACTCGCTGATCGCCATGGGACTTTGGTTGGTTTGTTTTTATTTTCTTTGGAAGACGCCTGTGCGTGAGTTTTTTTGTTAAAGTGTGGAGGTCAGTGCACAACTGATCAACACACAGTCTTCACAGAGTGAGGTTCCACTGGTGGTGTAGTTTAACACAATGACCATGGCTTCTCAGTCTGTTGCAGCCTTCCTCCGCCTTCACACCGTTGTAACATGTACCATGTTATCCTCCGCCTGCTCCGCCGTTGAGGTCTTTGGGTCTTTGGACTGTGCTTGGTCTGGAACTTCCCTCGCGGCCACTCCTGGGAGTGCACGACTCCAGTTGTTGTGCCCGCAGATTCATTGGAACACACAAACCCCCTCACCACGACAAGTACAGAGATATAGAATGCAAAGATACAGAATGGGGGACAATGCCTGGCTAGAGAGCAGTACGTGGAAAAAGATCTTGGACTCCTCGTGGACAACAAGTTAAACATGAGCCAGGAATGTGATGTGNTCCAGTTGTTGTGCCTACAGGTTCATCGGAACGCACAAGCCCCCTCACCACGACAAGGTACAGTCCATCGAATAAGATACACTACAGCTAATTCAGATGGTTTTAAAAGAGGATTAGACAATTTCATGATGGATAAAAATTGTGATAGGATAGCATGCATCCAAAAGCTGGAAAACAACAGCAGGAAAGTGCTATTGTCCTCTAGCCCTGATTGTGGGCTTCCCAAAGGAGTATGGATAACTTCAAGAGAAATGGGAAATTGGTGCAGAGAGGTGTTTAGTCTGATTGTATATTCTGTTAAATAAATATGCATATAACACCACAACATAAGCAGCGTGGAAAAGAAATCTCAATTCAATAATTCTACTTGTTCTGGATCTTTTATTTTAGGCAGAAATGAGTCTCAAGAATTGGCATTTAAACATTGCAACATTCAATTTCCTGATTACAAATAATGTTCTCTGGACTAAAGCTTGTGTGCGGTGGTATATATATTGATGTATGGTCAAACAGTTTTCCAACACTGAAGGTTCCCTGCATTTCCCCAATGCTTACCTTATTGCACTTGCAGATAAATGGCCATAGGAGCCACTTGCTGAAGAACTGCTACGGGAATTGTTAAGAATTGTGACTAAGGAATTTGGAGATGTCCGGATCATGGTCTGAAGGTCAAAGCTGTGATCAGACAGAGGCGATAGGGACAGTGTTCTCTTTCGGCTTGGTCTCGTTGGCAGCCTGGGACTCGGAAACCTGGTGCCTGTTATGTAAACAAAAACAATTATCTACTCTAGTACCTGACCCTCTTTATTTATTACTGCTCACAATGGATATAAAGAGCTGCCACAACAGTACGACATGCTTTTGACAAGCTCACTCTTTCCACTTATGATCTACTGGCTACGATTGAGAAAAATTAGGAAGAAAAATTTATCTTTCCATTGCTTACCTCAGGGGAGCTCTGTTTATTAATGTGCAAGCAAAATGATAAATTGCTAAACAAAAGGAAAAGACTTTTATGTGTTATCCCTCTCATTTCTAGTGATTTATGAATCTGATGGCTGCTTAGACATTCACATCATTAATTCACTAGAAGCAAAGAGATGGAGTGGTTCAAATCTGAGCTACCAGCAAACCTAGAGTCTACCGCATTAATGAAAAGAGTCAACAAGGGCTTCTAACATGTAAAATGGATATGAAAAGTCTATTTTTCCCCTTTGTTCGTAATTCTGTTTGGACAATGAGGCAAAGATAAATAAGAAAAAAAGAAGATCCTTCTGAAAAAAATTTATCGCTATATATCTTACGAGTTGTTTGAAAACTTTCTAACAATCCTATGAGGCAGACTTAACGTTGATTTAACATAATATTAAAATACTATTCAATACTGACTTTCCCATATGAAGTGAACAGTTCTTTCCCTCTTTATTTATACAATTTAGCTGAGCAGCAGTAAAGGTTTATTATACATTTCTTAAGTGGTTGTGGGTAGTTGTGTTTAGTTTGTGGAAATAAAAGTGTAATAGCTTGTTAAAATGGAGGATTAGAAGTTTTCAGCAAAAATTCAGATATTTATTTTCAGCTAAAAAAGGTTGTGAACAAAAATTAAATCCAGCCAAGATTAATCATTTTTAGAGTGGGGGTGATTTTGGAATATATATAACCTTCCTACTGAATTCCATAGAGATGTGCTTAAAGTGACATTTTTATTTTTGCTATCACCCTTTTCAGCTAATTGATCCAAGATTTTTAGCATCATGATCGATGCATCACTTTTTAACTTTTCAGTAATAATAATACCCTTCTTGTAGCTAGAAAAAAACAAACACAGTCCTATTGGATTTTAAGAAATCCACCCAACCCAGCAATTAATCTCTAAAAATGCCGGGATTCATGATACAGGGAGGGTGAGGGCATGAACAGGACAGGGCACCAAGAAAATGCCAACTGATTGGTTTTCCCCTGCTGTGTATCCATTCAAAGTCTTAAACTTGGTATTTGGATCCTTGCTTTATTGCTTCTATCATGACATGATCTATTTCTAGTTAAGTTCCCATCTGTGCTTCATTTTGGGACTCTCTTCAGCCATAGCCCCACAGATAAAACTGCCAACAAGAGTGTCAGTTATCTTTGGTGTCTGGCATGTGGTTCACTTCTCCCTTCTTCTACATCTGCATAACAAGCACGCACCCATGTTGTTCCAATCTTAGTCCGGATACTGTGATGACTAGTCAGCATTTAAAAGTGAATGTAACTTTTTTTTTCATCTCTTAAATTCCTTATAATTTAACCTTTTTCATCTCCCTTTTTTTGGGCCTGCGATTTAACTGTGTGGCTGCCTGCTACTTCATTAAATGCAGTATTTTGCTACTTGAGAACGGTGATGTCTTTTGCTTGTCTTAGAGCAGAGCTTTCCAAACTTTTTATGTTGGTGACATGCTTTTTAGACAATGCATCCTTTTGAAAAACATTAATTCAATTTTACTAGCAAAACAGAGATTAAACCAACCTCTTATAAGAGTGTCATACAAATATTATACCATATATAAGTTTAATATAAGCCTTACAATTTTGGCGATTTTTTCCCTTTACACTTCTTATGTACTACAGTTGATTCCTGTGTAGTTTCCTCTATAGCTGTTCCATGTGGTTCATCACCAACATCATTGTCAATAGACTTTCTTTTCTTAATTAGAAACATATTCATTTTAGTGGTAATGTAGGACAAATAAAATCTTAGAGCAGTCAACTCATTTAGCTTTCTGGCAGAAGTAATGGCAATGAGAAATGCCTACTTGAACTAAATTAAATTAATGGCTGTAGTCACAAGAGGTTCAAAAGCATTGAGTGAGCACTACAGTTAAAGACCAGTTAAGCAATGCACACGTACAAAGGGGAAACAGTGATTTAATCAGAGATAAGTAAAATGTAAACAAGAGCCACTCTTGAAGCAATGATTACCAAATATATCTTAAAGATACCCAGTCCAAGGTGCTATAAAATTAATGCAGGTTAACACCACTTTAACTACTTTAGCTATGTCTCAATGCTATGGAATCATAGTTGTAGTTTAATGAGGCACCAGCACTATTGGGCAGAGGCTAAGGCTACGTAAAGCTACAGCTCCCATGATTTCAAAGCACAAGGCAGTTAAAAAGCTGTCAAATTGCATTAATTCTGCAGTGTAGTTGCACCTCAACAGATTAAAGATGTAGTAAGAATTTTATAACATGGGTAACAGAGACTGAGCCCTCAGAAACATTATATTATTTCAAAAGGATATCAGATCTTATCGTTTTAGCATGAAAATATTTATTTGTAAATGGTTTCTAAACCAGGCTGGGCTTTAGCACAGCAGGTTAACTGCCAGCTGCAGTAAATCATGCCAACCAAAAGGTTGACAGTTCAAAGCCTGGGTCAGGGTGAGTTCCTGGGCTTTAATCCAGCTTCTGCCTACCTAGCAGTTTTGAAAACAGCAATGTGAGTAGATAAATAGGTATCGCTTAAGGTACCCATAAGGAAATGCCAGAAAAATGTCAGTGATTCGATCAAAGAGGAAGTTTACAAATAAAGCTCTTCAGCATGGAAAGTGGAATGATAGCGCACCCCCCCCAAAGGCAGGAATCGAGCACAGTCTCCAAGATGCCAAAGATGAGGAAGCCTATATATACCTTTATCTATGTACAGTTGTCTATCTTGTCAGTGTATAACGGCATTGAATGTTTACTGTATATGTGTTGTGTGATCTGATCTTAGTCCCCTTCCGTGTGAGAAGAGTGGAAGATAAATACTGTAAATAAATGAATAATCAGTTCTCATTAACTGCCTTAAGATGGGATATGAAAGCAGAATTCCCCATGCTGTTAGGCAAATTGTTGCCAAGTCCAGGTGGAGAAAGACACCTTTCTCTTGCATCAGGAGGTCCTCCTAAAGAAGCAATCTGATATATTGGCCATGAGGTAGATGAAGCACAATAGAAAACTACAATTTATGTGGCCATCAGAGTGTGAGCAGGATGGGAGACACTCTAGAGACTGACCAAAGATTGGAATAATGTCCTTCAAAACTGACAATACTGTTTTTGTTGCCTTTCGTACCAACACTGACTCAAATCTTGATACCAGAGGCTGACAGCAGGGAATTTGGTTAAGACTTGATCTCGCTCTGGAATAAAGTGGAAAGAGCCATTGATACATTTTCTTCCAAGCATGTAATCTAGTGCAGTAGTACCTATAATTCATTTTGGTTTAGAGATGATCTAAGGACAATGAAAGAGGCAGACATACCTAGAGTGCAGGTAGCATAGGCCACAGAGGGAATGTGACCAAAGATCAGGATCACTGTATCTATTATGCAGCAGAAATATCATCAAACAAAATCTTAGTGTCTGTACCCTCTCATTCTCAATATGTTGCCCAGCAGGGTTATTTCAAATGGTGAAAGCCTACTGAGATCAGACTCAGAGAGATCAGGAATAGAACTCTTGCCTGCCTGCTATGATAAGTAACATGTATCTCCTTGCAAGTTCATGTCACAGCTATCACAGAGTCCTGACAAGTGTCCAGTATTTCAATCTGGTCAGGTTTCTTGGGATAGGTCTCAGTTGGAGCAGACTAACAATGCAGACAAGCTGCTTCAATCAGTCAGTTCCACCACATACAAGCTAGACAGCTGACCCTCTTGGCTGATAAGATCTAGCAGAGGTGATTTGACTGAGTTCAGGAAGACATAAATGCCTCAATATATTAAGGATTAGGATGAAAGAGAAGATATCAAACTAGTTCATACACTGATGATATCATGATTACTACAACACACTCTATGTATGGTGTTACCTGACTTTCCAGCGGCTGGTAATAAATAATGCAACAGCGAGATTGGTGTTTCAGTGGGTTAAAATTCTTAATAAAACATCAGTTTTCCTAAAGATATTTATTATTCTCACAAGTTGTCTCATGGCTTCTTTTCTCACCACACTAATAAAACTGGTAAAGAAGACTGAAAATTATACAAAATGGTTATATGACGATGAAGATTATGATGATGATTAGTAGTAGGAGTAGTAGTGTAGAGGTAGTAGTGGCAGTAGCAGCAACAGTAGAAGATGTGGTGTACATATCACTAACAATAACAAGAGACATGGTTCCACCTTACATTTATAATCCTAAGTGTAACTTAAAAAATACATTACTTGAGCAGAGCATGTCCAAGGGGTTGACTGACAGTAATATGAAAATAGATCATATACAGTGTTCCCTCAGTTATTGTGGGTGTTACATTCCAGGACCACCCGTGAAAAGTGAAAATCCGTGAAGTAAAGATGCTATATTTATCGTATCCCTACTTCAGCTAGCCCTCACACTTCCTTACCCACCTGTTGCGCTTGCCTGGTGCGTTGGTGTCACTAGAGCTGGGGAAATAGACTCGAGAGGCGAAGGGAAGGAGGCCGGCCCTGGCTCCTCCTCCTCCCCCCTCTACCTGCTAGAGCTGCCTTTGCTTTTGCTGCTGCTACTGCTTCTGCCTCTATTGCTGCTGCTGCCTTAGCTGACACCTGTACCCTGCCGGCCGAAGGTGCATGCTGCCAGGGAAGGAGGAAAATCCCCCCTCCCCAAAGAGGCATCCCGAAGGCAAGTTATACATGGCCTTTGGAATCCATACAACTCTTAACTACCACCCAATAAACGCCTCCAGAGCCACTTCCAGCAGGCCTTCCTCACCATGCCTCAGGCCCGGCCCACACACCAACCTGCCTTTCTGAGGCCCGTTGGCTGCCAGATGGAGCCGCTCGCCACCCGCCACATGTAAATAATGTAATGTAAATATTTTACATTAAAATTTATTGAAAAAACGCGAAACACCGAGTCCACGAAAAGCGAACTGTGAAGTAGCAAGGGATTACTGTATTCTCCCCCCCCCCTTTTTTTTGGACAGAAAGCACCTGACTTTAACACACCACAACACTGATTGCAACTCTTAGGCATGAAATGCAAGCATGGGCATTCTATTTTATTTTAATTTTTTTGCATCTTAATTCTAGCTTCTTGCTAATTGTTTTGTTTTCCTGCTCTCATCTAAAATTCTGACAAAGAAGAAAGTGGTTTCTTCAGCATGATGAATGGGTAGGACATTCAGATTCCTAGTTAATGACAATTAATTTACTGTACACCCATGCAAGTTAAGATACTTTTAATTAGTTTTTACAAAGTAAAGGGCTAGCGTCATCCTCTATTTAGATAAAAGCACTACTGCCTGACTAAACAAATTCACATCAAACAGGGAAGGTGAGGCTATATGACCTCTCCACAATTCACTCTTAGTTTAATTCTCTATTTACTGTTTAAAAACAAGCAATTTGCATAATACCACTGCACATTTGTGTGCATTTTAAATACAGTAAACAGTTCTTAATTGAAAAGTTGCTGCTGTAATGAAGCTTAAATGTGTGATCTCAACTTAAGAAAACCTTCAGACACATCTTTGTTCAGCTCAGCAGCAGGTAAGGGAGAAAGAGCACAGTTCTTTTCCATTGCCTTCCCTGACTTTCTCTCTCTTGGGATGCTATCAGTCATCAGCTACTTTGAAGGATAGCAAAACCAGAGCGAAAGCAAAGCCTAGGTCTGCTTGGCCCAAACTTTGTACTTTGACAGTCAGACACTACAGGGCCAGCACTGAAAAACAATGAAACCCCATTATATGGGGCTACTTTGATGCATTGGTTTCTTGGCAGAGCATGGAAAATCAGCTTTCATAAGAATGAATATGATGACATATGGAAACCAGAGCATTCTCCTACCATTAAATGACTTCGGCATGACATTACATACATTTTTTTAAAAAGCAACTTTCCATCTCGATAACCTTGAAAGGTGTGCCTGACCATCTAAATACGTATATACATTACTAAGTCCAGTTATACAACTTGATGCTCACATAATATTGGACCAGAAACCTAGAGATACTGGAGATTATTAGAAGCCAAACAATTATCTTCCTGCACACAGATGTTTTGAACAAATCCAAAACTCTCTATGCACTTAATATTCCTCCAGCCGAATTCAAAAAATTACTAATATATGAACTTGAGGTTCATATATGAGTAACTTTCTATAGGCCCGTTTTCCTATATGCCATTTATTACAACAGAGAAGGAATGAACAGGTAAACAAAAATAAAAGAAATAGCGAGAGCTGTATGTGGGTCTTCAAATTAGACTCCCATTTTGAATGGACTGGGCTCCTAATTATGAATAATGAGCTTCATAAACACAAGAGACTGTTTTCATTAATTTCTAGCAAACGGGAGACAGATCCAATCTCAGCTAGAAAAAACAAAACAAAACATTGGCATCAGCTTTGAGGTTCTGATAAGCCAAGAAGCCAAACCTATATTCAGGAACATGCTTCAAATTTTGTAAAAATCTCTTTCCTGGCTGGGTCTGCAATCATTCCATTTATGTATATTGAGTGACACAAAGAGTTTAGATTCTGGTATTTACCACTTATATTTTTGAAGCATTGAAGGTCTTACAAGAATTCTAGAATTCCCCGTGTTCCCCAGAGTCTCTCCTGCTTTCCCTGCAGATTCACCTAGGAAGGACTGAATTCACTCAGTTCTTGCAATATTGGTCTTGATGACTATGAATGACTCTGACACGTCAGAGCTCAAGTATAAGTATTTTACATTAATTTTATTTAATTCCACAGGTGAAATGGGAGCACAAGGAACTGATTAGTATTTGATAAACTCTCATTATTGTTTTATATGTTCTGCATATTAAAATATTTATATCTTGCTCTATATTTTATGCTGAGGAGTTGTTTAGCTTATTTTTTTTCTACAGACTTCCCTTCAGGGAGCCAAAGTCTTCCAAACAGACCCTTGAAAAATACCATGGATTAAGAGATGAGTCTGGGAGTCTAGAACATTCTCTAAAATCTTCTGGTTTTGAGTTTATAAGTTTCACAACCATGCATATATTTATTTTGTAAAATTCATCAAATGGCATAACTGGTCCATAACTGGTCGAGCTAAAATTCCTTAGTTAAGTATTTGATATTTCATAATAAATAGGATGCTCAACAGGGCACCACTACTTTTTATCATAATGATGAACCAAACAGTGAGCTTCTTCACATATTACAATTCAGTATATACTTGAATCTTTTTATATAAAAAATCTAAATGTGTGACAATACTTTTCCAAAAATTGACCTAGTTGATAACTTCCCATTCAGTGTGCACTCAATGGAGTCCCTGAATTAGCTTTTACTCAATGTGTCAAATGATCTTTAAAACCTAATGCTGAAAAATAAGGCATCAAAAATAATATAACAACTCTTTAAATGCTATGAAGATGTCATTTAGACGTTGACTAAAAGAGCGACCAAAGAAGTATTAAAGAGAATGTATAAAAGGTAAAGTTAAAGGTTTCACCTTGACATTAAGTCTAGTCGGATCCAACTCTGAGAGGTGGTGCTCATCTCCATTTCTAAGCCAAAGAGCTGGTGTTGTCCAGGCACCTCCAAGGTCATGTGGCCAATCAATAAAAACTGTGTATTTTTGTTTTTGGTTTTTGTTGTTGATATGTTCAGTGGACTACTAAATAAACAGATCTGTCTATCTAAAAACTGGGATACTTGTCACAAAATAAGAAATGAAAAATACAGTGTGTAGATTAACTACAATGGGGAATGGGAGGGGAAAGAACTTCCCGGAGAATGTTGTGAAGGCAATAAAGTAACTTTGTTTTGAATGGTCACATCCAGAGACAGTTTAACTATTTGGATGTCAGATGTCTAGGAAGGAGAAAGAGAAGATTAATCTCACTTCCTGGCAAGCATGTATACTAGTGCAGACTAATAGTAGCATTGATGATGAAGAAGATTGTGATGGTGATGACAACAACAACATCAAACACCAAGTAACATCAAACAATAACTCAAACTCAATATTGAAAAATTAGACCTTCAATTCAAATGCTTAAGTCCGCAGAAAACATTAACAGTTATTCACATTTTCACATCCAACAGTTCCATGTCACAACTGCATTATCTTTTGAAATTAAGTTTATTTTCAGCAAGTTCAGGAGCTTTGATTAAGATATTTGGTTACAACATTCATCACTTACTGTCCATAGCATGGAGATACTCCATATGAAGGGCACCAGCTCCTGCTGTGGCTGCTGAAGGAATGATGTCTGCATATGGGCTGCGCTGACCCGCCAACAGAGCCATCTGATGATAATATTCAGCTGGACTAACTCCAGCATGTGGTACTAAAAAGAAGACAAAAGAAAGACAATTTAAGGCAGTGGTTCTTGGCACACAGAACTCTCATGGCCAAATTTCCCACACAGAACCCCCATGCCTTGAAGAGACTCGCTGGCATGAGCCTACCTCCAGCCTTGCCTGCTCTCCCTCACCCACACATGCACACCATGCTGCCATGCACCAAACACTCCTGCTCTCCTTTCACTGCCCCCACCTTGGCTGAGAGGCCAGCCATTCACAGAGGAGAAGGAATTTTGGTGGGTGGATTTGCTGGCTGTGTCCAAAAAGGAAGAGAAGGACAGACGGAGAGATTTTCAGCCTTCTCTACCAAAGGGGTTCCTAAGACCATCAGATATATATTTTCTCATGGTCTCTGAGATCCCCTCATGACCTCCCCCCCCCCAGTCCACCGGGGTCCCGACTCCCAGGTTGAGAAACACAGATCCAAGACAATATGGTAAACTGGAAGCAACTTTTTAATGTTCTTCTCTTATCCATGACAATGACTGTTTCTATTCTGTGCATTTTAAATCTCATCCAAGCTTGGGTGACTTTGAGTTTCATCCCATTAATGGACATAATTGACCACTTTAAGTAAATACTAAAAATGTTTATCCTGGTAAAGTTCCTTTGAAATTAATATTAAAATTAGCTGTAGCTATTTTATGCATCATAGAATTCAAACTTGCTCTGGGACCACTTGTGTGATTTGACTTATATGTATTTTTAGATTGAAAATAGGGATATACATGTTTCAGCTTGTTTCTTCCAAATGTAAGATCTTCTAAGGATGAAACTACAACCCTGAACAACTCTCAAACGTCTGGGCAGAAGACCAGAGCAGCAGGCCTTAATTTAAAATGGAGTTTACCTCTTTAAAAGGTTGAACTTGTTCAACAAAACAACAGCCAGCAACCATCTAGCTACCTACACAGCGCTCCTCTATCTATGGCAATTCTTTGGATTCCAGTTTATGTCTTTGTGAGTTTATATTTATCTTTGTTGTTCATTCATTCAGTCGTTTCTGACTCTTCATGACCTCATGGACCAGCCCATGCCAGAGCTCCCTGTCGGCTGTCACCTCCCCCAGCTCCTTCAGAGTCAAGCCAGTCATTTCAAGGATGCCATCCATCCATCCATTTTGCCCTTGGTCGCTCCCCCCCCCTTCCTTTTTCCTTCCATTTTCCCCAGCATCATTGTCTTCTCTAAGCTTTCCTGTCTCCTCATGATGTCGACAAAGTACTTCAACTTTGTCTCTAATATCCTTCCTTCCAATGAGCAGTCGGGCTTTATTTCCTGAAGTATGGACTGGTTGGATATTTATCTAGGATGCTCAAATTTTAGTTTTCAGAACTGGATAAGAGACAAACATCCTTTATGTAGGGGTTAAATGTAAATAAAAAACCATTTCAGGAACTTTTAAATATCGAGTCAAAAATTCGCCAACCCCCAATCCCCTCTTATACCACATTACACACCATAAAAGGATGAAGAAAAACATTTGAGCAAAAGACCTGACAGGAAATTGTTGATTTAAAAGTTTTACAGTATTAGACAACTGTGGTATCTTTCCAGACACACTTAAAATACTTCCTGAGTTTTCTGACATAAGTGTCTGGGTTAACTAACAATAACATTAACTGAAAACTTTAAGAAACATGTCTGAAGAAACTGCAAGGGCATATAGTATAAGATAAATTGGACTACATGTATTATTTACTCTAAAATTTGCTTTAGTTTCTGAAGATAAGAAAAATAGCTTTCCTTACTGTAAAATGTACACAGAAAAAATATTGTAAGAAAGATTCTGTGTTTTAGTAGCAAGGTGGTTAGCATATCTCAGCCTGGAGGGGACAATCATTTGAGGGCCAACAAAATATTGTTTATGAATAAGATTTCCTCCACCAACTGCAACACAAAACCCTTAGTGTTTATTAAGTCCAAGGGTGCACCTATACCAGGCATGAGCAAACTTCAGCCCTCCAGATGGACTTCAACTCTCGCAATTCCTAACAGCCAGTAAGCTGTCTGAGAATTCTGGGGATTGTTGTCCAAAACACCTGGAGGGCCGAAGTTTGCCCATGACTGATCTACACTGTATAATTAATATAGTTTATCACCACTTTAACTCCCATGGCTCCTGGGATTTGGAGACACCAAGACCACAGCTTTGGATAACACTTCTGTACAGAATCTAACATAAAAGTCTACCAATTGCATAATTTTTTGAAATGATGGGAGTGGGTGATGGAGAGAGGAACATATGGACAACTAGTATTAAACATTTTATTCATCATTCTGGAAAAATATGATTTTTCCCAGAAAAATAAGACTTTGGCGGGGAGGGAGGGGAATATTTTCAAAGTTTTTCCACTATTTTTCTAGGACTTCACATGTCTAGCTGGCTGAAAAATACCAGCAGGCAGTAAACACATCTGCTTTCTGGTGCTTTCAATCATAACCACAAACATCCCAACAACTTCATTGTTGTATTGTGACTGGTTGTGATTATATTTTGGGGCTCCTGCCCTCACCAAAATTACAGTAAACAGTTGCAGAGATACTTTATGGATGTGTCAGTGCCTTCTCATTTAAAACTGTACCCAACAATTTATCCAGAGGTTTAACCCTTGTGGCAATGATTTTTTTTCCAGAATTTTCTTCCTCTTTATCACAAGGAAAACCTTGACCTGCACCACAACATATATCCTAAAAGGAAATAACCAGAAGAAAATCAGGCTTATGTGTCATCTGCTATAAAGTCAATTATTGAGCAAGTTGAATTTTGTAGTATCAGTATAATCTATATAAATAAAAATGTAATGTTCGTTTGTGATATTCACAGAACTAGAAAACCACTGGGGGAATTGACACCAAATGTGGACATGATACACCTAACACCCCAATGTATGTCATTCACTAAAAAACCCCCAAAGAAACAGCAGAAACCCCAAAAATCCACACAAGGGAAGAGCGGCTGTTACAGCATTGAGAGCCAAGCGCGTGCGCACGCACGGCCATACAAACAGAACTGACACAGCAGGCAGCACCAAGCTCCCTCCCTCACTGTGGCAGGGAGCTTCCTCCCTCACGGCAGCATACTTGGGAGCCTATCCCGCACACATGGCCATACACATACACACAACTTTGCCTTCCCCTTGCCCTTGCTTTTTCTTTTAAAGGTGAGGCAAGCAGGTGCAAAAGAGGCATTTTGCCCTGACGGTTGTGCGTGTGAGAGGGGGGGGGGGAAGGAATCTCCCCACAAGGCTTGCAAGCCCTCTCCTTTCTCCCTTCTGGCAGCTTCCTCTCCCATTCCTCCTTCTCATGCCTCTTTCCTTCTCTCCCTCGCTCCTTCCCCTTGAACTTGCCAAGCGATCTCCATGGCCAGCATGACCCCTTCCTCTTCACCTTCCTCCTTGCCTGCTGTGGCAATGGAGGAAAGAGAGAAAGGAAGAAGGGAGGAAAGAAAGAAGGAAGCGTGGGAAAGAGGGGAGGTAGAGAGAGAGAGGCAACCTCCTATCTCCCCTCCTCTTGGCTCTTCCCATTGCCTTTGCAAAGGTGGGCACTTCCAAGGCTTCCAGCCCCCACCAAGCTTCTGAGGCAGGAGAGAGACTGAAGGGACCCACAGAGAGGAAGAGGAGGAGGAGGAGGAGGAGGAGGAGGAGGAGGAGGAGGAGGAGGAGGCAGAAACACAGGCAGCAGTAGCAGCGGACCCCAGGCTCAGAGCCCGTCACAGCCATTTCCGTTGCAACTTGGTGGGGATGATGAAGCCAAGCAAAGCAGGAGGGAGCCAGGAGCTGGGGGGGGGGTAGTGCCCGACCAATGAGGGGGGTCTACCCCTGTCAGGAAGGGAGGACAGTTGGGAAGGTAGCGTAGGATATCTATAGTCCCACAATTTGTTCACAAAACAAAACACACAATAGCATATCCTCTCTGTGTGTGTGTGTGTGTGTATATAAAGCTAAAGGTTTCCCCCTGACATTAAATCCAGTCATATCCAACTCTGGGACTCTGGTGCTCATCTCCTTCTTTAATTGAAAAGTCGGCGTTGTCCATAGACACCTCCAAAGTCATGTTGCCACTGGTATGACTGCATGGAGTGCCCTTACCTTCCTGCCAGAGTGGTACCTATTGCTCTACTCACATTTGCATGTTTTTGAACTGCTACATGAATTGAAAATCATTCTGTCTATCTATCTTTAACAACTTGGCAACATAAACATGTTAGCAGAGCAACAGTAAGTGCGTATGGGTGTGTGGAGTTGTGAAAATATAGTGGAATTAATGCACATGCAAGATCATCCCCACAATAACCCCTCAAGACATGCACTCCAGTAGAGCCACTTATTTCCCGTGTGACTGTGTGCATTTGAGGGGAGAGTTGAGGAAATATAGTAAAATTAACATCCATGTAGGTATTCTCCACAACTTCCTATCAACATAGACATTACCATATTATCCACACCCATATGTGTATGTGTGTGTGTGCATGCACTATATCTCCCCCCAAAGAAAGAAGGAGACAAAGAGGGAAGGTTGGCCACAGCAACGTGTGGCAGGTACAGCTAGTCTATATTAAAATATCATATGTTTTAGCAGTGAGTCTGTAATGCACTCATAGCTAGGAACGGTAATATATAAACTAAATACTTAATACCACAAATTAAAGCTGTAAATGTATGATATACTGTTAAACTGTGTAACACATATACTTTAGATTACTGATATTTAAAAAAATGTAATGCCATAAAGTCATTTATGGAGGCCTTACTATAGCTAAGAGAGGATTAACAAATGTTTTAGGCAATTGCTAAATTTTCTTTATCACTATTACAAATGCCCTGCATATGTAATACAAGTTCTGATTGACAACAGGTCATTAAAATTTATTCTCATAAGAACAAGTACCCCTAACTAATGGATTATCTGTAAAAGTATATGTTCTTATATGTGAGGATTAATTAATTAGGGTATTATCCATTTGGGTAGTGAGAACAGTTCATTTTTCAAACTCAGCTAAAGGCAGATTGTCTGTTTTGTAAATGTGCTATTTTCATGTCTGGTGGGAAGTACTTTTCACTTAATTGAAATAGTATTTTAATTGTCATCCATACACACTGCCTAGGCTAATTTGACCCATATTAGCTCAATTTAGCATAATTACTACTTTAAATACTGAAATTGATTTTTCCCCCCGAACAATTAACAGAGACCAGCACATGCACTTTTGTTGTTGTTATCAATTGTGTTGAAATTCTTAATATCTTTTTTTTCCTCTTGGATGTATAATATTTATTCAGAGCTTGGACATATATTTTTAAAAGCAAAGAGTTATTGTTATGTCACACTAAACATACATTGTATATTTAGATGCAAGTACAGTTACTCTGCAACGATTGACATTGGACTTATTGAGTTATAGTTATAATGCAAGCTACTTATGCTGCATTTATTGCTAATTACAAGTAACACATTATGCGTAACTAGCTATTTCCAGGATCTACCAATAAAATTGAACATTTCCACCATTTCCATGTCCCAAAAATAATGTTTTCAGTCTGCTTAGGATTTCAAGTGTCTAGTTTTATTATTTTTCATGTTCCGAATGATGAACCATCCATGGAACATGAATGTGCTCACTCAACATCCTATCCACAACATGTAGCCAGAAGGAACATCAAACTAAACAGAACAATAAAAACCAAACAACAACAACATAAAATATTCATTTTAAATGTATTTTTAATGTTCATACTATTTATTATAGCTTTGTAATTCTAGTGATGCTTGAAGAAGGCCATATCTAAACTCATATGAAACTTCATATGGGTTGCTTGAGTGTTTTTTCACCAGTTATACACAGCTTTTCATGTTAAAAATCTGAAAACAGTTCACAAGATGTGGTTCCATATCTGTATCCATGCTCTCATATATATATATATATACATATACATATAAATGCGCACACACACGCGCGCTTGCATGCATACATACTTTAGATAGCATAGGAATGGTTAACACTCCATGTGGTGCGTGTTTTGTTGACTATGCCACTGTTCAGAAGATTTCATCTCACTTTCAGTCCCTGCGATAATTAGATTTTGAAAAATATGGCTTGTGGAAACAAGGACTGGTGAAAAAAGCTTCAGCAGAGACACCTTTTCCTTATGATAACTCTCCTAGGGGTGAATAGCCTTCTTAGGGGTAAATTTATCACACTTCCTGTTGTCTTGTCCCCATTCTTAACTATGAAACGTTTGTAAGTTGGATGTTTGTAACTTGGAGACTGCCTGTATTTTAATAGTGTTTTGCTTTGCCTCACTATTTTAACCATGCTGTACCTTGCCTCAAGCTGCAAGGAGGGTCACATAAGTAAATCACAGTATGTCACAACAAATGAGATCTATATCCTGGATTTCATATGATAAAATTACAAGTCAAACACTTCCCAAGCGTCTGTGTGATATATTTTCGAATGATGCGTGCAGATCCAAGTAAGGTGGCCTTTTGCAGTTCACAGATTGTGATTTTGTCAGTGTTCATTGATTTCAAATGCCGGCTGAGACCTTTTGGCACAGCACCCAGTGTGCCGATCACCACTGGGACCACCTGTACTCGTTTATGCCAGAGCCTTTGCAGTTCAATTTTGAGGTCTTGATAACGGCTGGGTTTTTCCTGTTGTTTTTCCTCAATGCTACTGTCACCTGGTATGGCGACTTCAATAATCCAAACTTTTTTCTTTTCCACAATTGTGAGGTCTGGTGTATTGTGTTCCAAAACTTTGTCAGTCTGGATTCGAAAGTCCCACGGTATTTTGTGTGTTCATTTCCACTACCTTTGCAGGTTTATGATCCCACCAGTTCTTTACTACTGGCAGGTAGTACTTGTGACATAAGTTCCAATGAATCATTTGGGCCACAAAGTTGTGCCTTTGTTTGTAGTCTGTCTGTGCAATTTTCTTGCAGCAGCTGAGGATATGATCAATGGTTTCATCAGCTTCTTTGCACAGTCTGCATTTTGGGTCATCAGCTGATTTTTCGATCCTGGCCTTAATGGCCTTTATTCTGATGGCTTGCTCCTGGGCTGCAAGAATCAGGCCTTCGGTCTCCTTCTTCAGTGTTCCATTCGTGAGCCAAAATCAGATCTTCTCCTTGTCCACTTTTCCTTCAATTTTGTCAAGGAACTGCCCATGCAATGCTTTGTTGTGCCAGCTGTCAGCTCTGGTTTGTAGTGCATTATTATTATTATTATTATTATTATTATTATTATTATTATTATTATTATTATTCAGTTCACATAAATGAGATGGCACTGATCACATTTTCCTTCCTGCACCTTAATTTAATTTTGATAGGCAAAGCAATTCCTTAAGTGGGAAGAAACAGAGTGACAAATTTCAAACTGTATCCCAAGCCCTGCACTTTATGCCAGCCAAAGCAAGACATGTGTTTTGAGGGTGGTAGTTTTACTGGACTGCTCAGCCTAGCTTATCTGTACATCACAATGCAAACTCACCCCTGACATACTAAACACTTCAGTAGGGCTGGCTTTAACTGAACTAGCTCCAGGTCTCTTAACCTTCATATGGTGGATCAGGCCCATCTGTGAGAATGCAGTAGTTTTAAATCAAGTTGAAAGATGCTGAGTTATATAAGAACACTAGTTTTCCACTCACTCAACTAAGAATGTTCAAACCTTCAACCATAAATATGTGGTGAAATGCATTCTTAATTCCATTAACAAAGTAGGATTTAGGCCCTGTTTACCTCTCCGAACGTATTCTCCCCTATGAACCATCAAGATTATTAAGATCGTCTGGAGAGGCCCTGCTCTCGGTCCCACCGGCCTCGCAAGCACGTCTGGTGGGGACGAGGGACAGGGCCTTCTCGGTGGTGGCCCCTCGACTCTGGAACTCTCTCCCACTGGAGATCAGAACCGCCCCGGCTATCCTGACATTTAGGAAACAGGTGAAGACTTGGTTATGGAGACAGGCATTCGACGAGTGAGCCAACACCCTGAGATATGGATGGAGGATGATGAGCAACGATTTTAGTGTGATGACTGACCATTATAGTTATTGATTGTAATTTCTGTTTTAATGTTTTACTGTAACATGTATTATGATGTTTTATTGATTGTATTATGATATTATGGTTGGAAACCGGTCTGAGTCCCTCAAGAGAGGTGAGAAGGCCGGCATACAAAACTTTTAAATAAATAAATAATAAATAAATTTGTTCAATTGCTTTCAATGAGACCTAGTGCCAACTAAATTTAGCTGAATCAGATTAATTAATATTATTAAAATTAGATTAACACAATTCTAACTTCCTAAAGTCAAAGACAACTTATATCACCTTCAAAAAGCATCCCTATTTCCAAACTATTATAGCTTTAAAGATGACAAAACACCAGAACCATAGTGTCCCGAATTATCAAGATTCTGAACGATAAAACTTCTATCTCATTAAAAAAAGAAGACTGAAGTTTTCCTGCCAACTTTAGGAATTTTTCATTTACACTCATACAGCTGGGATGAAAAGCATATTGCTTCTATCACTTGTCATAATGGCAGGTGATAGAAGCAATAAATATACTTCAATTTTTTTTAATTTTGAATAAGATGGTACTTTTGGTTGATGTTTCAATGAAGTGTACAAATGACCGGCTATAGGCTGATGAAGTATTGAAACATTTATGACATAATAAATGTGTGACAAATCTACTACAGCAGATTGGAAGAAGTATAAGAGATACTCTGACAAGATTAATATAACTGTTGCCAAAGTGACAGCAAACAGGAAGCCAGTCTGAAACTCACCATCCGTAGGGCTCAGTCCTCGGGCTGCTGAAATCATAGACAGAGAAGGGCTGCTGTGCAAAGATCGGATATAGTCCATGTAAGGGTTAATATATGGATGAGGTGGGCTAAAAGGAGACTCTGATGCTGCAACAGGATTCCTGTGTGGGGATATTCTGATGAATGGCAAGTCTGAATATGTTGGACTACTTGATAGAGCAGAAGGCCTAAAAAAGAAAGAGAACAAAATATATGCATAAAATGTATATTTATTTCCAGGTCCATGCAGTCTGTTCTCCTCTAAAGTTAAGTAATGTTCCAACTGTAACAAAGAAAAATGAAGTATTAATTCAAATACCTAGCAAAAATAGACAACATCAAGTTTGTTCAGGATGGTAGGATGCAGTACATGAGGCAAGACAAGACAAATCCTCCTGCATTCAGTAAAGGATCCTTACACCGTGCTGTCAAGAGTGTAGTGTCACATCTTTTACACCACAAAACCCTGTATTCAAGTGTAGGCTAAGCATTTTCAAAAAGGAAATTGTCTGCCTGGCCCAGAACCTTGTCTGAGGTGACAACATTCCTTATCATATCAATACTCCAAAGCTGTGCAGAGTGACCATTCCCATCAGTGCTCATCTGACCCATCAACTTGCTTGCTCTTTGTCACAGGCATTAATGTGACAAAGCCTGTTTTGAAGTCGAGTACCTAACTGGCTGACCCTAAATAATGCTTTTTAGTCCCTTTTACTCTAATTATCTTAGCATAGATACAGCAAAGTCTTGGGCAGCAGCTGAAAGAACTACTGAGGATATCAAATTCCTTTGATCTTGCTCTTTAGGAATATTTGAAAGAGTGTTTTCTGTGGAGTGAGGGAATAAAGAGGTAAATTTTTAAAATGCAGTCTCATAGTAGGATTTCTAGCCATTAATCAGGCAAAACAGCCACATTAAAATGACTTGTACTTTACTCTAGTTTTGAAAAAAAATTCATTCTACAACTCTGCATATCTAGATGTATTCCTAAATAAACCTAAAGGTAAGAATCCAGTACCAGAGCAGAATAAAAAAATATATATACATCCATTCATAATATGGCAAACACTCAATTATCGGATTGAGTGTGATTGGGTTTAGAACCACCGAGAACCGTGATGGCGAACCTATGACATGCGTGTCAGCACTGACACGCGTAGCCATTTTTGATGACACGCAGCCGCATATAGAGAAGCATGGGGTCACATGCCAAGGACGTATCATCCTTGGCTCCTGCACAGCCAAGTGCAGTAGCCGAGGATGAAACATTTGCTGTAGTGTAAACACGCTGTGCCAGAGGTCTGTAGGCCAAAATAACAAAACTCTGGCACAAAGCGTCTAGCTCTGGGACTTCTGGTTAGGCCGTTAGGGGATCTTTGACCTCACTTCCAGCCGGTGGAGCAGGGAGCAGAATGCCGCGGGGACGCATCTTTGGGGGCCTTGTGATCGCCATTATTAGCAACCACATAACCACAACAACCATCATCCAATCTACTGTTCTGGGATGTCGTGGATATCTAATTTACCATCATTACTGAAATAAGTGAGGGGGAGGCTGGGAGAGGCAAGGGTCTGTTCTATGGATGCCATTTCCCGCCATTAGAAACAGCAGCAGCCATCTTAATTAACACTAAGAAGGTAAGTTAAATAATTAGTTTTTGGTTTATTAAAAATTGTATATTATAATTATACTTTTTTGTTATTTGAACTATAAATATCATAAAATTAAGTTTTTTTCCCCTCAAAGTGACACCCCACCCAAGTTATGCTTGTTTTTTTGGTGAATTCTGACACACTCAGCTCAAAAGGTTGCTCATCACTGACCTAGAAGATGCTTAGCAGAGAAGCATTTGTTAGTTGAACTGATGTAAACTGAGGTCACTGATATAATAGTGACTCTTCAGGTTGTGTTTAAGAAAAATATGTGTTGACAAATTCACATGGTGAAAAAGAATGATGGGGAAGCAGACTTAGTGGCATGTAATTACTTTCTTGCTTGATCATTATATCATTAACTCTATTGTTTGTCCCTAACAAGATTGCCAGTTTACCAGTGATACATGTGAATGGTCAAAAATCTCATGTTGATATTCCTGTTTGCCTTCTATATATACCCTATGAAATGGATTGGCTCAGGTCCTCTCACTTAACAAATTCAAGTTATTCTTCATGATTTCTATCACAACAGTGTACCATTTGGAACCTTCTACAGAGTCGTTCAAGCAGCCAATTTGAGAGTGACTATGTCTCACCTGGATGTGGTGAATTCTGACAAGGTCTGGATGGTATGGAAGCTTATATGGTGCCTTGAGACAGATAAAAACACAGCTGTCTGCACCAACAATGGGCAATTAGAATGTACCGTATCATATCTCTTCTAATCTTGGATATTACTCTGGTGATGTGAGAAAACAAAGGAAAGGCATTCATGAGACCTCCTAAATGAAAAAGAAAAGCATCACCAAATGACTTTTCCCCCCCTCAGCATGTCCTGCTAGAGAAAATCCAACACTGAGCATTTTGGAAGATGGTGAAAGAATCCACTTCATATTGGAATGAAGTTCCATTTGTGACACGAAAGTAGACCTCTAATCAGACCATCCATCAGAACATTCTTCTTCCAGAAAAAAGTGGGTCACTGTGATGTATTGTTTCTTTCTATGCATCAGTCCTACAGATGGAGAATGAGATGAAGCAAGGTCTTGCATACCATTCTGCCTTGTTTGTTCATGTAATACATTATTGTGGTGTTGTCAGTGACCATCTTTACAACTTTGTCCTTCAGAAAGGGTTTTAAGACATGGATCTCTATGTCCACATCCATCATATTAAAGATGTTAATGTGAAGAACAGTTTCCTTGGTTGACCAAGGTTGTATTGGTTGTATTGAGAAATCTTCTGTGTGATCTTTTCATCCTTCCATTTGAGTGTCAGTTATAACATGTACCCAAGATTGTGGAAGGAAAATGGCATGCTGACCGGAACATTCATCGGATCAATCCACCACACTAGAACTTGATGAATGGTAGTATCATGAGACACTGGTGAAAAGTATCTATCACCAGACTGAAACAGGACAAGAACTAGATTTGTAAAGGACGTATCCTGAGTCTCACTATCAGCTTTACTAAAGTAATGGAAACCATGAACCCAAGGAGCACTGATGATGTTCATACCTTTGTGAAACTGATGGAACAGGATGGCAACAAAAACAGAACAGACTGGTCTAGTCTGTATGTAAAATCAGAGAAAAGTTGAGATGCCTTCATCCATTCCGGTATTCCTATCATGTCTAAAATTAGCTCATAGATTAGGGCCCACTCCATCTACTGTACAACCTATCTCCAAAAAGATAAATGGATTAGATTGTATTTCAGAGTCTGGTTCTGAATTCTTTTGTGGTTGGAATCTTGTAACAATATTCTTTTGTGGTTTAAACATCTCAGTCAGACTCCATGCAGAAGAAGCATACCATCCCATCTGATGATGGTGAGAAACTGGATTTGATGGCTAAGAAATTGTACTCCACCTCAGCCTTTACCTTCTGGATTGGAAACGATAATGCACAGCAGGGGAATCAACAATATCCCCTTCTGACAGACAGACAGCACAACTCTGGATTATTCCTGCAAAATAGGTATAACTTGATCATCATGAGAACAATCAGTATAGTCCACTTCTATTAGTGATGAAATGTCTCTGTTGACTCTGATTTGAACTTGTGAACTGGTGAGCCTGAGAATACGCTGCTGAAAGAATGATGATTCTACTTGGAAATCCTCCATTTGCCCTGATCTTTTCTTTTTCTTGTGGTATCCTTTTCCATTCCAAAAGCACCCAGATCAAGACATACAGGGATTGAAAGCTCTAAAGATTGCATGGCAGTGCTATGAGAAGCAGCCAGTACAGAGAAGGTCAGTATCGAATATGGCAACATGGCATGTTCATCCTTTCCTTTTTTTTTTTTTTTTTTTTGCTGAATCTACTGGGATGGGGGGGGGGTGGAACCCATGTCTTGCAATGACCTATTAACCATCAAACTTACCAATAATTCTTATGCTGTCAGGGTTAAGGAATGCTGAAGTGGGGCAGATGCAGAAATCAAGAAAGAAGGTTTGATTATATAAAAGTCTGAAAGAGTGATATTCCCATTTATGTGCAGTAAAAGGTTTACAATTACAAAATCCACATTGTGGCTTTCACCTAGGGACAAGAGGCATTGGGATTAACCATCTCTCTAAATGTTCTTAGCCCTACAAGTAGTGCCTTCTTAAAAGATTCTGAAGAAGCAATAAGAGGTATTTACCATAAAGGAATCAACAATCCGAATCAAACCAAGCCAAGACAAACAACCATCCAAATTGCAGTCTGAGAGAAAATACCTATCGAAACCGTAGAAAGCCAAAAACCAGATGAACAAAGCTGAGCCAAATCCAAAATCCAGCTGAGAAAACAAGCCAAAAGTTAAGAAAGCCAAATGAAAATAATTCTTCAAAGCTGCTGTAGTGGTGGATGAAAAACAAGTGAGACAGGAAGCATGAGCTGCTTAAATGTGGGTGAGTTTACCACCCAAACACTTATATAACAGCTTGGGAAGTTTTTGAACAATGCACCTCACAGGCACAGACAACCCATTTTTGTGAATCACAGGGACCATGAAGAAAAACTTGAAGTTGAGCCAATTCATATCACACAGCAATAGCTTGGGATATTTTTGGGATAAATTGAGGTGAATTTGGCAACAATGTAAAAGATTTACATTATTTTAAAATCTATGGTCTGTGAAATATCATCTGATGTGTAACAGCAACTAAACTGTGGAATATATAAACTAGTCCTACATTACTTTATCTGTCTTTTACATATTACAGTCGGAGTCCCATGCTGGGATTAAATAAATAAACAAATAAATAAACAGATTTCCACAGAGTATTACTCAATGCATGTAGGCTATTAGATCCTGGCATAACATTTAATGTTATGTTAATGTTATGTTTCATCACATGAGAAAAATGATGTAGCCATGGATGTCTTGGTTCACAGTTACAGATTTGTGAAATCTGGCATACATACATGCTTACTTACAGATCTACGTCATTCCTAGCTAAACTCTGAGCCACTGCAGCAACATATACAAATGACTCTGGAGACTTGATAAAATCATGCAAATCTCAGTTTTCCTTTTAAA